ATTAGAGAGAGTCACCTTATATGGTTTGGTCACATAAAACGTTGGCCTTCCGATGACCAAAGTTAGGAGAGTAGAAGTGTTAGATTTGGCATATGCTAATAAATGTAGAGGTAGAACAAATAAGACTTGGTTAAAAAATATTAGGAATGACCTTCTTTTTATTAGATTCAAATGAGAATTTGACTCTTAACAGGATACAATAGAGAAAAAAGATTTATGTAGCCAAGCTCATATAGTAAGATAAAGGCTTGATGTTGTTGTTGTTTCGCATGATCTATGGGTTCACATTACACTTTTTCTCAATTTTGGGTTGTCTTGGCCAACATTGATGTTAAAACAGCATTAATATTTATCAATATCCAACAAAATACTGAGTAAAATATTTTTTTTAGCTAACTCACAAAACCTATCTCCCAGGCAACTACTTAATTTATTTTGACTTAATTATATTAATTAATAAAACAAATAAGAACCAATTGCCTTATAATAGAAGAAATCATCTCAGGAATAACTCTGAAACTATGCGAGCTCTATTAAGCCATGAACATGATAAAGAATTTAGCATAAAACATGCAACTTGATATTTTCCTCATATAAACTCAAGTGCTTAACATGAGCAAATTCATGACTATGAATCTTAATCTTAAGCTAACAAACAAGTCAGACAATCAATTATTCAAAAAATAGTTTTACATAAAACTAGTCTTTTGCATTCAGTTGAACTGTTTTCCAACAGATTGCCCAATTTATCCCAGACAAGATCAAATTTATGCCATTTGGAAGTCCAAAACCTTGCAAATTAATTGATATTTGCCTTTCAAATGCCTCCTTAATCTCTACATTTTTCATAACAAAATTGGGTTTATTTCATTTAAGAAAATGGCTCCTTCAAGAAGCTCCTTAGAAAATATTCTCATAATAATCTCAAATATCTGCATTTCAAGGGCACTTAGCAACTCTTTCAAAGTAGTCTAATAATATCCAATGAACCTAGGATGAATATGATCAAATCATAGAATATATCTAAGAAATAAAAAACATATATTCTTTACAAGTATGAACTTAGAAACATTCCACTCATAACAAAATAGTAAATTCTAAAAACAAGGGAAAAAGGTTTAAGAAACCAATGAAAAACATAATACAATTGGGAGCTAAGAATAATAAGATATTTGAACAATAGAAAAAAAATCAAAATAAACCCTAGACTTGTATGGGGATATTTTAGTCCCAAACTATAACGTGTTCAATTTAATCTCATGATGTTATAAAGTGGGCCGGTTCTATCCAGAGGTTTCTAATAACCAAAGCCCCAAACCCAACTACCTCTCTTATGCAACAAACCACCTCGACTTCCTTCATGAAAGAACCGAATCAAGTGGCAGCCATTTCCAACCCCATCACTTGCGACCCTTCCTCCAATCGAGAGAATCATAGGATTTGCCCGCCTCATGTGATTCTTCTTCCCACGACCTTCCCTCTAGCCATATAAGGTGAAAGGAGAACCTACGGCATCATATTCCCCTTCTCTCTGCAGCCACCCCACCTCTCCCTCCTTCCTTTTCATTTTTTTTTTCTCTCAATAACAACCATTGACAAACGTTTATCCCAATTTTCTCATTCTATAGTGAATTTTATTCTTTCCCCCTCCTTTTTTTTTCTCCTTAATGTTTGCCCCTTTTCACCCCATGTAGTGGGAAAAAGGCTTGATGTCATTGGTGGTGCTGTAATGTTTGTCCCTTTTCAAATGCTAAACTAGATTAAGTTAATAATGATTTTATTTATAGTCCTAAATATTATTCTTGTGGGTTGTAACTTGCATGGGGTGAAGGTTTCCAACTTGTAATTAAGGATTAGTTAGAATAAATCGTATATATATCTTGTAGATTGTCAACATTTTGCAGACATTTTTTTTAAACTAAAATAATTTATGGGGATCTCCTGAATTATAGTTCGCTTATGATTAGAAGGACAATAAGCTTGATCACATCCATGTGATAATTAGTGTTAGCATTGGTAGCGCTAACTCAGATGTCTCAAAATTTGTGCTTATATTTTTTTGTTTGATTTAGCTCTTGTAAGCCCTTCACTTGGTGAATCTAATATATACATAATCGAATTCGGAGCTCATGCCAACCATGGTAAGTAACCGTTATTTACTATAGTATAAACGTATCATTCTTTATAGGATAAACATATCATTCTTTATGATGGGTCTTATCCTTGTTACTCGTATTAGCTTCCTTGATATTATCGGTTGTCAATCTTATATGTTAAGTTCTCAATTATTGTTATATTATGTAAATCTTCTTTATTGTTCATAATGAAATTAGCATGCAATAAAGCTAACTTTACCTTGATTGATTGTTACACAAACTCTTATTCATTTAATTTAATTCATGAAATAAAGAAATAATTCATGCACATTAATTTTGTAAAATGCAATGAATAATATTTTTGCAAAACAAAGTGGTTATGAAACTCCTAACTTGCTATATTTACCAAACAATACACATGGACACTTATTAAAAATATGGCCATTATAAGCATGTTTGTAATAGCATGTAGGTCGGTAGAACCCTATTGGACATTGACTAGCCGAGTCGGCGGACCCCCAGAGTGACAACTCAATAGAAAATCATTGAATTTCATTGGATTTGTGTGTACCTTCCCAATGCATAATGTTTTGCAATACATATACATATTTGTTGGGTTTGATCTATCAAACTTACCCGCTATTGTCTTTTTTCATAATAGATCCTACAAGTGTTAGATGAACCATCACCACAGGAGCAGATTTACTAGTCGTAAGCTATATTTGGTATCTTTTAGTAGCTTGTAGCAAGTCATTCGTATGTTTGCTTTTGATCTACATATGATATTTATTGATTTAGAAAAAGCATATGATAAAGTTCCAAGAGAAGTGCTATGGAGAGTTCTTGAAAAGAAAGGAGTCAATAATGCTTATATTCAAATCATTAAAGATATGTATGCAGGAGCTATTACTTGTGTTCAAACACAAGGTGGATTGACCAAGTATTTCCCTATTTCGGTTGGGTTACATCAAGGATCAGCCTTAAGCCCATATCTTTTTGCTTTAGTCATGGATGTTCTCACTAGACATTTACAAGAGGATGTGCCTTGGTGTATGCTTTTTGCTGATGATATTCTTCTTGTTGATAAGACTAGAGAGGGAGTTGAAGGTAAACTTGAATTATGGAGGTCAACCTTAGAGTCTAAAGGTTTTCGCTTGAGTAGATCTACAACGGAATATATGGAGTGCAATTTTAGTAGTAATAGACCTAGTGGGGGATTGTGACTTTGGGCGATCAAGTCATTAATAAGAGTACACGTTTTAGATATCTTGGATCTATTGTTCAGAGTGATGGTGAAATAGATGGGGATATTATCAGCAGAATTCAAGTTGGATGGTTGAAGTGGAGGAATGCATCGGGCTTGTTATGTGATAGAAATGTACCCCTCAAACTTAAGGGAAAATTCTATAAGATGGTAGTGAGGCCTGCAATGCTTTATGGTGTCGAATGTTGGCCTTTAAAAGAGAAGCATAATACTAAGTTAAGTGTGGCAGAGATGAGGATGCTTAGGTGGATGAGTGGCTTTACCCTTAGAGATAGGATACGAATGAGCATATACGTGAAAAGGTTGGAGTATCTCCAGTAGAAGATAAGATTAGAGAGAGTGGCCTTAGATGGTTTGGTCACATAAAATAGCGGCCTTCTGATGACCTGGTTAGGAGAGTAGAGGTATTAGATTTGACTTATGTTAAGAAAGGTAGGGGTAGACCTAAAAAGACTTGGTTAGAAAATGTTAGGAATGACCTTTCTTTATTAGATTTAAACGAGAATTTGACTTTTAATAGGACACAATGGAGAAAAAGGATTCATGTAGCCGACCCCACGTAGTGGGATAAAGGCTTGATGTTGTTGTTGTTGTTGTTGTTGTACTTTTAGATCTCTCATGCTTGATGTAGTAATATTGTGTTAATATATAGTAATATGAATTTATGATAATGAAATAAAAGTTTAGTTTTCTTTCATTGTTTACTCTGATAGATATAGTGTTTCTATTACTTGAGTAGGCATTTTTTTCTTTGTGAATACAAAACAGATCTTCATATCCCTTTATCATGTTCAGTGTGGCTAGGGTGTACCACCTTCCGGACTTGGGATGTGACACTCGACTCCTCAAATATGATCCAAAATAGCCTCCTTATTGGAGTATTTTGGATCAAATTTCAGGAGCCAAGGGATTATCTTGGATCAGGAGTCAAAGGACTAGATTACACATTCAATAATAAGGGACTAAAATAGGCACCCAAAAATAGCCCTAGTGATTATTTTGTTATTTTTCTATTTATAAAACATATCGAGGTACATACTGTAGGTATAACACATACAAACTTTGACTACCAATTTCCATTGGCAAGATTAAAATTACAAAATAGCTAAATACAAAACTAATAATACAATTCGTCACAATATTAGAAGAGAATCTCAATTGATCTAACTTTATTCATGGAAGTTTTACTTAGGTGTACCAGTGCATAGCAGAAGATTACAGGCTAGTATCTGAATGTTAACATTAACAATAGATATCATTATAAAGGATAGTCTACTACACAATTGGAAGCTAAGTACAATTCGTCAATTGCAGTACTCAATACTCACAATTCATCAACGACAGGTGCACAGGCTAGAAATTGAGTAGAACCATAACAATAGTTATCATTGTAAAGGATAATCTGATACACTAATGACAACCTGAAGTACCGATTCGTCAAGTGCAGTACTGCACAATTCATCTATTATCTAGGCTAATTAAACACCTAACTTTTTTCCCTCAGTGAATGAAATAAAACACAGCTAGAGATTTATCCTAATATAGATGAACACCAGAAATAACAGTTCTAACAACAATAGCAATAGTGATGATATTTTGAATAAACAATGAACAATAGCTGAGACATTTAAAACATTTACCTTTACAAGACTAGCAACAAGATTTAGCATACTAATTCTGTTGTACTCAAATAAAGTTGCCAGCTGCACAGGTAAACAAAATAAAAGAATCACATAAGGTTTATAAAACAAGTAATCAAAATTCAATCAGAAGTATCAATCATTTATGTACATCATATACAATCATGATTTATTAAAGAGACCAAGAAATGAGAAAATAGATGCATTAAATTCATTTGCAATAAGTTGTGTCCGCATACTATTAAAAATAATAATTCTATACTTATTAGTTATTACCTTAGTAAATGAGCACGCAAGAAAAAAAAAAGAGTTAACCAAAAAAAAAAAACCGTAAGTACAAACCATAAGCCAATGTGGGGACCCATGAAGTGAATCCCATTCTCTTGTACTAGAAATATTGAGGATGATAAAAATATCTTGCATAAGCTATGAGTAAGGCTCTATTTGTTTGAGCGTTTTTTTGCCTTTTCCGTTTAGAAACGGAGGATTTTTTTTTTGTGTTGTTTGGTTCGTCAAATCACGTTCCCAATAACTCCTTTTTTTCATTTTTCTTCAGTTTTGAAAAAGTTTTTATATATGCTTCTCCGTTAGAAAACTCTATTTTATGAACTAATGTTTTTTAAAACTGTCTTTTACAAAAGCACCAAAAAAACAAACGAAGCCTAAGTTTGTTCGCCTGAAAGCGGTAAGAATTCATGCTTCCCACTTCTGCAACTGGAAGGTAGGAAAGTCACTTCTAAGAGTTGTTTTATGAGGTGAAAATTTCTATTGCTGCTGTAAGGTTGTGGAAAAAGTGCAAGACTTTGACGATTACAGTAAAATTAACCCAATATATATGATAAATTCTATGTATAGACATACTGGTACGCACATACAAATGCATAATCAGACACATTTACCAGCAAAATATGTTAATAAATAAAGCTCGTTTAATATAATATATTTTATATATAATAAAATTGCATTTATATAACTGATATATCTATGAAAAATTAATTTGATCGGCATGAATCTCGAGATAAAATTTGAATTAGAAACTTCTAAAAGTTAAATTTAGAAATCTGAGTCATATTAACTCCAATATTAGTAAAAGTATAGTCAAATTGAACGTCTGAATAAGACGAACCAAACAATACCAAAAGTGGTTCAATCCAAGCCTAAATGAGCCCAAATCAACCACTTGAAGCATCATTGAAAACTTCAAATATTAACTAGATGATCAAATGATCTCTAAATTCGACATGTGTTGCAGTCTATGATGCACCGACACTTCTCCTCAAAGAGGCGTGCAATGTCCGACACCGTGTCCGACACGACACTCGTCCGACACTCCTCCGACACGTGTCGGACACGCCAAAAACGTATCCTATTAAAAAAATATTAAAATTAAATTGGACACGCGTATCTTAAATATTTTATAATTTTTTTAAAAAAATATAATTTCTTATGTTTGGCGAGATTTAAACTAAATTTCTTATTTCCTATC